CCCCACACCTACCCGTCTCTCTCACCCATCGTCTCCCATTCCCTCTGATCCTCACTGCCCAGTATTTGCAGTATTTGTGTTCACAGACCTGCATTTTGGCTTCTATTTACCCAAAAGACCAACAGGCTCTCTCTATGCCCAAAAGCTTGCAAGGAACAATTTTTCCAACTATTTAGTTGGTCTAATAAAAGATATCGCATCTGTCTACCCAAAGAACCTAATCTGCCTAGGGACCAGCCATACACAGACACCATCCCTCTGTGCTACATTAAAAGGTACCTCTAATGTGATGTGCAGCCTGCCCCTTCCTCCACAACTTCTGTTCTGGCATCACCTTTTGACTATTTCATTGAAATAACTACATCTTTGCCAAAGAAGGAAGAAAGCCCCAGGAGCAGAGCCAGTGATTTCAGAGGCTCTGTAAATGTGTGGGGGCTGGGATTTGCTTACATCCCTCATCAAGTTTTATGCCAGTGAAACTACTCACAATTAATATTAGGCCATGGAAAGCCCCAAAGTTTTATAGTCTACTTGCATGTGCTGCGCAGTATTTGACACGCAAGGGAATTTATGAGCTTTGCTCTCGTTTGCACCAGGGAGAAGGATAAGCCTTCTTCTTGGCATGCAGCTGCTGTGGTACTCTAGTCTGACTTGCAGTTGTGTGCACCCATAGCTGTGGTTTTATTTCAGAAGGAAAGTAGAGTTTAAAAAGGAATTTAAAAAGTTTATGGAAGAGAAACAAGAGGGAAAGTGGGGAACCAGGGAAGAGGAAATACTGCATAATGAAACCTAAAATGATGTGAGGGGAAAAAAAAAGAGCATTGGAAATGGAACAAGAGGCCAGGTGAGAAAACTGCAATTTACACTGGATTTCAGCCTTCGAGCAAGTGTTATTGGCAAAGGACCTGGCAATGGTGCTCTTATCAAGCCAAATGCCTGGGGAATAAGTGAGCAGAAGATTTTAGGTGGCCATATATTTTTTTTTTTTAAATACACACATCTATTTAAACATCTGAGGGTTAAGAATCCTACACTTTAAGTAAATCAAATACCAGATTAAATAGGCCTGGCATAAATTCTAGAGCGAAGATTGAGAGGCATGCCAAATATAGAATCCCAAATCCATATTTAAATAGGAAATGTATATTTTTTTTTTTCCTACAATGGCTCTCACAAATCAGAACACTTATTTTTAGGCAGCTAAACGTAGATTTCCGACTTTAAGCACTGGTTTTAAACATCTGGGGCCTAGATAGGAACATGGAATCTTATTGTAACTCTCATTGCAGACAGACACCTCTATTATATCATAAGTGTTGGTGGAATTACTCTTGATCGACTCCAGTTGATGTTAAAGTCTGATCTAGTGAATGGTATCATGGCCATATTGCAAGATTCAAGAATTTTCTACCCAATTTCCCTCTGCTGTTGCAGTGGGACATGGGGCAGTTCTTCATCCCCCATTCTGCACCATTGTGGAATGTTGCCGAGTACTGGCAGAAAGGGCTGCCAAGGACTAGCTTAGACTTGGCTGCATTTCAGCAGTTACCCATGTAGTGTGCATATCTCTATATTTAATCAGCATGGATCAGTGGGGCAGGGGAGGAAGAAGGGGGTGAAGGGTGTACAGAAGAAAGTTAGCTTCCCAAATGCTTTATAATTGAACAAAGAGGCTACACATGAGTCCAACAGAAAGTGGGAAGAGAACCCACTGTTCAATTCTATGTGGTGGTTTTGGTATATGGCACTTTCATATCTGTCCAGTAGCAAGTCAGATCTTTAAAAATGCACCCTCATGTAACTGATGTTGCTTCTTCTACTACCTCTAAGTTTAGATTCAAAGGCATTAAAGGGAAATGAGTCCCAATAGCACTGTACCAGAAGCAGACAAGATAAACAGGATAACCATTTGCTTTTATCAGATTTTTTTCCTGCAGCACAGATTTCCTTTTGTCTGTTCAAAAGGCACTCCACAGATTTATTCCAAAGCTGACAACTCCGTGAGTCACATGGTGGATTAAGTCCAAAGAGAAACAAGACTTTCCTACCCAGCCCTGATGTCACACAATCCCTGTAGCTAAAAACTTTAGGAGTTTAGTTACACAGGAATGCAAGATCAAGCAGGGTAAGAAAAAAAAAAAAAAAGAGACACAAGCCACTTATTAGCATCAAATTGCCTTTTCTGGCTTTCAGTTTCCATTGTTCTAAACTCTGACCTCTCTTTGCAGTTTGGCTTTAAACTCACCAAAAGGTTGGGAAGATAATACAGATTTCAGCCAGAGCCAGTGGGAAGATGAGTGACAAACTGAAAAGTCTGAAGATTGTTGTAAGTCTCTGAAATGGCATGCATGTTCTACAGGGGACAGAAAGGGTGAAGGCCTGTGCATGAGGTTGGAAAAAGGAGGGGCAGGAGGTAGAAGAAGGGTGGGGAAAGTGAGAGAGATTGAAGAGGGGTCACAGACTGTCCAAGGTGAAGAGATGTAGAGTGAGAGATGG